CCTGGTACTGATCTCTAGATTTTTTTTTGCAAGGACTGGCAATAGATGAATATTTCGACGTTAATAATTGACTTTCACTTCCAGGAAACAAGCCACATCGCGTGGACGTTTGATCACTATTACTAGTATGGGACTGCTCCATTTTCTTTGTAAACGGTGACGTTCCATCTACTACACGGATATGAATCGTTGCCACATCAGACGTAGATGTACGGCGAGCAGCCCTCATTATTCGTGGAAACGACAATTCTGTAACATCAATCCACAGTTCATCGGCATTGCGATAACAGAGTCGAATACATTCCATGCGACCAATGTACCTCATTACCTGTCGTAGCCGCGCCTCAAGGCCACAACAACCCATTCGTATCAAGTCCACGGCATTCACGTCGATTGGTGTACATCTCTTCTCACCATAGTAAGGAGTAATGAATGATGAGTTCAAGTTCGTCGTCACAAGCTGCTTTTGACAGCACCATATTTCTAAACTACGAAAGTTACTGCCACTACACGTGCAGGCAATGAGAAAGTTTTTCTTATCAAAGTTCTTTTCCGGTCCTTATTTGCATATTTCCATTATATCACAGGGGTGTTCGCATTATTCTGTTTCCCGCAAAAACTATTGATATATCATGATTCCACATTTTTATATTGGTTGATACGTGTGTAATCTTTTCCAAGTTTACATCGATAAGCAGATGGGTTTTTTGAATGTAATGATGTGTATGATGTATACATCAAACTTAAATCACTTTAATTTTGCATAATGGTTTGGTCCCAATGCTCGTGTCCGGCCGAAATATAAATAAAAAAAAATCACGTCACACCGATTATTCTGATTTGCAATACTAGACATGAACCGTGAATCGATCAGAGGAAGGTCATATGCTTTAGGAACTTCTATCAGTGCAGACTACAGAAAATTAGTCGTGCGATCTTTGGAGGATGCCGGTGCGAACTCTACGACTGGAGAAATACCTCGTGGTAAACTTACTGAAGTTGCCAACAAGACCAAAGTTTCAAGAAAAACAGTTATGAAATTGTGGGTGCAGTTTTGCAATGATGGTAAATTAGAACCAAAGTCCCACTCAGGTGGAATGCCACGGAAGCTTACTGAGCAAGATGTTAGGTTCATAGAAATGATGAAACGGGAAACTCCCTCTATCACATTGCGAGAAATACAACGTCGTCTTTTAGAAAATGCCAACGTCCGCATTTCAATATCACAGATATCGTATTATGTGAAACACAGACTAGGAGATAAAGACTGGTCGCGTAAGAAGTTGACAAAATTGA